GAGAAATAAAGATAGAGACGGTAGCGCGAAACGTATACAGAGTATCACGACGAGTTCGTGATTCTCTCTAATCTCTGCAAACCATCCTCCCCGAATCTCTTCTCCCCTGCAACGTTCGACTGCACTCGAGAGAGAAAAAGAGAGAGAGAGAGAGAGTTAGTTTTCGGTGCCCCCGGAGGGCACCACGGCCACGTTGCACCGCACTGAGAGGGCCGCGGCAGCAGTAAATCTCGCGGACAAACAATCATAATTTTCGAAGAGCTAACAAAAAGCAAGAGACTCTTTAAAGGGAGCCGATGCCAGCCAACATGAAATGCGGCCGCCTCCGCGCCTCCAATTGTTTCGAGGTTTTCTTTCCCTCCCCCTCGTTCGCCAAGCCACCGCAGCCTCCCTCCCCTCCCGCCCTCTTTTTCTCTCCTCGTCGTTTCCTCTCCTCCTTACCACCGGATCCGCGTGTATCAACAAGTGCGCACAGGTCTCTCTCCTTCCCTCTTTCCTTTACCCCTTCGATTTCTTCATTTCTTCCCTTTATCTGTCGATTGGACTACTTCTTTTCTCCCTATTGTCTTCCCTATAGGTCTTTGCCTTCGTCTTTTTTCGGTGTTTTTTTCCCTCTTTTCTTTTTTTTTTTTGGGAGGGTTGGTCACTATTTCAGAGAGCATTTGGTTAAATGTGCAAACGGTGCAACAGTGTCTGTTAACAATAATTCCTGTTTCTACAAGTTCTTCCGTATAATTCGTTTTAACATTGGAGCACACAAGTAGAGACGGTAATAAGGACAATGATCCCTACTCAATGAATTAACATTGAAACTACCAAAGATTATGAAAATGACCAATTTATAATTTCTGTTCGAAATTTTATAGACACGGAACAACGTATCTTTCGAAATTTAAACGACTCTTCGACAAATGTGTGAATAAAATATCGCGTCATTTATTGTGTCATAAATTTTTTTCTATTCTCTGATTGTCGCTTTGGTCGTCGGTAGTTCTAGCGTTATATGAATCTCTCCAAACGAGAGGCGAATACTTCCGGCGTTTTCCAGCTCCACGCTTCGCCACCGTGTACACGTTCGGTTTCGTTCGCAGGATCGATCGAGGCTACGCGAGAACAGAGAAACGGACGATAAACTCGCGGCGAGGCTCGGCGTAAACTTCGATCGAATCCGACGCATAAGTGGAAGGGGAAACTCTTCCAAACGACACGAAAAAAAAAAAAAAAAACACCACCTCGTCCGTTCGTTAGAGAACGAAGGTAAATTACAAGCCTCATTTTCAGCGTGTCTCGCCGGATGGTCGAGAATAAAAAAAAAGAAAAGAAAAAAGAAAAAGGGAAGAAACGTATGGTTAATTCTCGGTGCGCGCGGATTTTTATCGAGGCGCACACGAAGAAAGGAAACGAACACAGAAGGGGGCCAGCAAGCAGCGAGGTGCTTATCGAGCGCTCGCCGCGATTCTGATTACAGGCTCTCCGGACGAAGGGAATCGTCAGCCGGTGCCCCGCCATAAAAATTCACCCACCCCCGTGTGGTTGTGGTGGTGCGCCGCGAAGCCAACCCCCTTTCGCGACCGCGATATCGCGTTTCTTTCCGTGGCCTGGGTTTCTTAAATCCCGGCCCCAAGATAGCATCGTCGCGTGAAATCAGCCAGCCAGTTTCTCAGTTATTTCCACCCGGCCGGGCCGTGAGCAACGCTAATTTTCCGCTCTAACCGAACGCGATATTCCTACGGGCAATTACGTGTATACGTGTATCCACCCTTGAGAAAATTCAGCCACGGTAATCGCGTACGATCTTTCATTATTGGTAGATTGGTATTATGGAAATATTTGGATATTTCTGCGCGTGAAATCAAATGTTTGTTTTAGTTTTCTCGGTTCGTGAAAGTTAAGGAAATTGTCTCCTCGCCAGAGTTTCGAAGTTACGCGGTAATTCAGTATGCGTCACTAAGGTAGAAGAACTGAAAGAAAGTTTAATACGATTGAACTACCAATATCAAACCCCTCGGCACAAACACGCCTCGTCTCCGAGTGATTCATTTTTTCAAATTAATTCAGAATTCGTAAAAATTGCAGACAAAGGCTGATTCTTCAACGAATTACCTCGTCGTTGGAAAATACCGAAACTTTACGTACGTGTGTCTTCGTGGAACTCATTGTCAGAAAGAGAGTTCATGTTGTAATACAGCGAGTCGTGAAATACACAAATAAATTTTATGAAAATGTATGTTTCTTTCTTCTATCGTCGGTGGCATTGGAGGAATTTGGAATAAAATTGATATTCACTTGGCTGTTTTATCCTCGAGTTGTTCGAGTTTCAGAGCCACGTGACAAATCGTTCGTACGCAGCGACGCTTTTATTAGACACGTACACGGCTGTCCATCGTCGGAGAATTATTACACTGTAGCACGTGTAAAGGCCGATTTTGTAAAATCGAGTATCCACAAGTGAGTCGATAACAAGTTAATGTTCGTTCGATTTAAAATTCAAAGTTAAATTAAATAAAACGTGTCGTCAGTTTGTACGTCTTGTAACGACAAGATCGAATTACGTGCATCGAAACGAGTGTTTGTCAGAATACGCGCAACGCAACAATTACAGTTCTTGCGCGACGTAAGTATCGAGACGTTTATAACGATTGAGCAACACGATGAATATTTTATTGACGAAAGATTGAGATTTATGAATCAGAATTGAAAGATGTTAGCGTGCACTCTCGCTTTCCTGGAAAATGGTTATTTTCGCTTATCGATTGAGACTTTAGCGAATCGTATTTTTACGTCGAATTTTAACTTTTCATTTATAGCTATCGTAGGGTCTTTCAACGCGTTAAATCTCTCGCGAAACTTGGGAAAAGTAGATCAGAGATCAACGATGTGATAAATGTGATGTATGAAAAGAATGGTTGAAAATATTTTAGAATGGAAGAGAGGAAAGTAGAAGAAAGGCTTGGCCTCCCACGTGCCAACGTTGATGAGAAAATATTCTACAGAAAATGTATAAATGCCAACGAAGACTGTGTCTAATGGATAAAAATTTCGACATTGATGAAAATTCGAAATTTTACAAAAGTTAATTCGTATGAAATCTACAAGTTAATTCGTGGCCCTTTCTTGACAAATATGTTGTTTGTCTAGTTATTAGTCACTAACCATTTCGTTATTTCCATTTACTGACCCAAAGAAACCAAAGAAAAGAAACAAAATGTGTTCTCAATTGTGAGGGCCACGTATTAATTTGCACACCTGTTAATCCCGTGAATCGAACTAACTCCAAAAACAAACAATTCTCACGATGATCGACATTGTTTATGAAAAATTGTTCGTCCATCTTCGAAAGAACAATGAGCTCCACGCTAAATTCATCTCGTGGTGCTAAGGAACGTACACCTCTCTGAATCCAAGACTAAGTGAGCTGCCAACTATTACTTTACTCCTTGCGATTAGCCCATCACTTCTCTTTTGTAATTCAAATACTTTGTGTACTGCTTGCCGGCTCGCATAAATTACAAATAAACTGCTGCACGCAACCACGTTTTAATGGCTTTCCCGAAATTCAGCAACATTCTGCTCGCTGGTGTGATCTTTGCCGCAGTGAAATTTAGTATTTTCGCGCCTTTCCTTGGCTAAACTAGCACACGCTTTAGTTACTTTAGTCACGAGCTGAAAAGATGCCAGTCGAGAGGAATACTCGTCGTCGGTCTCATCATTTTTTACTACATAATTTTTAACAGTAAGAGGCACAGACTAAATGTTCGTAGAATATATTGTATATATTTTTTTTTTCTACAATAGTGACAGAATTGTATAACTGTTGGACGAAAGGAGTGTTTCAGTGACGACAGTCAGGTACATTTCAAAATGGAATAATTTTTTCACGCGACGAAATTATTGCAAGACTTTTGTTTCTAACAGAAAACAACATAACAGTTTCATTGACATAATCAGAGTTTCAGTATCTACATAAGAATATTAATATATTGTATGCGTCTCGTTCGGAAAGGTACTTCTTGGAACCAACAGTACAATTAATAAATTCTATGTGTTTGTTGAATATTATCGGAGCTTAAATGAAATTGATGTTAGTTTTGTCTTCGTATATTTCAAGTTACAACGCCACGTGACGAATCGTTCATGCGTAATGATGGCTTTTTTACATATCTATTCATCGTCGAAGAACTAATGAGTTGTCTGGAAATTTTTTAGCATCAAGCGCAAAATTGATTAAGTCCCGGATAATGAGAGATGTAAATAAAAATTCTGTAAAGTGTAACAATATCAAATGTTACACTCACTCAAGATTGAACTTTCAAAACGTGGCGCTGAATCAAATTAAATTGTACTTGTGCATTTGTTCAAATTTCTTTCGTGAAATTTGGAAACGATAGATCAAAGATCATCGATATGACGAATGAATTGTGAACGAAGAAAATGAAATTGTTCATAAGTGATTAAACAACTTGCGAGAAGAAGAAAAAGAAGAAGAAGAAGAAGAAAAAAAGCTCGCAAACAACGATGAAGAAATTCGCGGAAACGGAGCAGAAAATTCCTAGAACTTCAAGCTGATAATCTTCTTAATCATCTGTACAAAAATCGTAGCAAACAATCTTTACTACGTTGACTTTTTGTAAACACTAAGAAACTGACGACGCGTTTCTGCGGAAATTTTCTACGAACATTTCATCGTCAACAATGTTTTTACAACAAAGGCGTAAGATCATCCCATGAACATTACGTTCTTTTGTATACCAAACTAGAACAAGTTCCAACTTCCTGTTAGAGATTAACGACAAATTTCTACGAACATTTCTAGCTTGTCCACGCGTTCTTAGAGTATATTCATTTCACGATCTAATATCTATCAATTTTTAACAAACCAACGAACCAATCACGCATTCCTACGAATTTTAATGTCCGTTTAGAGTCATCCTTTTCAGCTCTCCATTCTAATATTGCCTCTTGTCGATTCTAGTTAAAGGGTAATTTCGTCAAGTATTTACCTCGGTCTCTCTCTCTCTCTCTCTCTTTCTCTCTTTCTCTATCCCTCTCTCAACGAGTATCCCCGTGTCCTCCGCTTCTTGTCTCTCCTTCGGTGAACATAGTAGTCCTCCCTCGACGAAAAGAGGTGCCGCAACTCGGCGAAAACGCTCGACAAGACTACGAACTTCAATTATCCCGCACTGAAATGGAAACTTCACCCGGCCGCGGTGTCTCTGGCGTGTCTCATCACTCGCTCGATGCCGAGTACGAATGCCGAGTTCTGTCTGATGTCTCGTCCGAAGACGTGCGTTCACATTGGCATCGCGTTAACACTGGATCTGTTCCGCAACCGATCGCGAAATACCTCGTCCCGGAATAATCCCTCTGTTTCGAGTTTCACACTGGTCACTCTTCGAAGACTTTGTCACTCCATCGATCACACGAAGAATAAGATCACTGGCCCCGGTCTCCTCCGCCAACGTCGTCCACACTGTCATCCAGCGAGCATCCTCCGATACGACAGGACAATTGAGAGAGAAAAAGTAGAAGAAGAAGAAGAAGAAGAAAAAGAGAAACACTCAATTCGACGGAACGCGAACGACTGCGTGGCGACCCATCGACGACGCCGTGGAACCGGAAGTGCGCCGGGTACCAAGCGCACGAATTCACCGCGAGAAGTGGAGGATTGGCGGCGCGCGATGATGCCGCTCTGTCTCGGATCTCTCTCCACTCGCGTTCCACGGGGTGAGGAGAGGGTTTGTTTGACGCCGAGATGGTGGTGGCAAGAGTGGTCCGCAGAGGGTGGGATGTGTGCGCGCGTCCACGCGAAACCGAGGGGAGAGCGACAAGATAATGAAACGCGGAAAGAAAACTGAGCGGAGAGTGACGCGGACACTCTCGCTATCGAATTGCAATTGGAATTTGTCCGGGGAAAATTTGTCCGGCTCAGCGACCTTCTTGAGGGTTGATCACCGTGGTATCGCGCGGGGTTCTCCACCCGTGGAACTCGGTACCTGGATGTGTGCCTTTCCACTCTACACCGCTCTACACCACTCTGCTCCGTTGGTGGGGGAGTTCTTAGCTTGACCAGAAGAAGAAGTGGGGGTGTTCCGTGGCTTCCGTCCGGAGGAGGCGGTCTGGTTCCGTGTGTCTAGCTGTCCACTGACCGCTGGCTGATAGGCCAAAGGAGATCCTGACTCCGACTCGGTCCGAGGATGGAAAAAGAACAGAAGGAACTGTCGCAAACCTCGGCAACGACCCGAGAGTTGTTTTCTGTACGGTTACGGTTTTGCGACCCCTTTGGGTTTCGTCGCAGGTTCTGGCCTACGCGCTCTGGTGATTCACGGAACGCGTGAGAACGTATCAGACTCGCGTCCGAAGGAGCGGAGAGAGAGTCTTTCACCGAGCCCAGAACGTAAAACAGAACGCGAGTGCGCGTGGCTCGGCTGGCGCGAGATGACTGAACCCCTCCGAAGGGTGAGAGAGAGACAGAGCGGAGGGGAGCGGTGCCACTTTTCTGCCCCCCTCTCCCGCCATTTAAGAACGAACACGGCGGTTCGTCGGCCCCCACCAGCTACCCGTTCTGGAACGATGCCCCACCTCCGTCAGACGGAACGACACGAAGCCTTCTCCCCGCCTTCGAGTCGTTCCACCTCGTCCCTGTTCCCACTGTCCCTCCCGGTTCCCCATCCAAAGACAGAACAGCGTTCTCCCCACGCGGTTCTCTGTATTTTCTCTCTCGCTCCGACCCGAACCCACTCCCCTCCGACTCGGATCGTCGTCCCGACGTTCGCGAGTGTGCGTGAGAGCGCGGCACACAAGGCGCGCGCTAAATGAACTGAGAGGGCCAGAGACAGAGAGAAAGAGTGAAGAGAGAGTGCATAACGCGTGTTCGAAGGGTTGAAGCTGAGAGAGAGAGAGAGAGAGAGAAAAGGAAAGGACGAAGGAACCGTGTGCGACACTGTAGATACACTCACATAGAGCGATCGTGTAGAGAGTTATTCTGCTCTTCGTCTACTGTCATGGGCACTCGTCCACCGGCTGGCGAGCGGCGTGCTGCGCCCCAGGGCGGCTTTCGATGCGTCGTCCACGTGCTTCTTCTTATCGCGGACTCACCCTCGAGTACCGGCGAGTGGAGGGGGTAGGTAGGTGGGCCCAGAAATAGAGTTGATACGGGGGGGAACGTGTTCGTGTTGTTCTTTTCAGAGTTGTGCGAGCGATATCGAAGTAGAGAGTATGTATTTTCGAGATTTTTGGACTTTAAGCGCTGTGATTTTTGAAGGAAGAGAAAGTAGAAGCTTCTCCGGAGAAATCGAGAGCAAGACAGTACCTAGACTTGTTTTGACAAGAGGGTAATTACAGTGTCGAAAGAAACGCGATTCCTTGGGGGAAAAATACCTCGAGTAACTTCAACTTTCGAGTTGATAATTGGGAAATGGAAAGTCACTGTATCGGAATTAACTTAATTAATTGAAAGACGAAAGTGTTTGGTTGATGGAATTTTCGAATAATGGATCTATGTACTTTTAATGAAGTTTGAATAGGAGCTCCGGATAGATAATGAAACATTTCAACAATAGAATATTTAGTTGATAGAAATGAAATCATTAATAAAAGAACACGGAATTTCCTTTTGAAATGTACTGAACTAAATTAAATTAGCACCGAACTATAGTGCAAGAAACAATAAAGTCATTTTCCGATTCAACCAATGACAGCTGAACTCTCCGACATCTATCCACTCTGAACAAAGAATAAATCGTGGTTGAAGCAACGATTTCTTACCCCTTACGGAGAGAATTGCTAAATATTTTTCGAAATTCGCGACGAGGGGTTGGAAACATCTACGCAGGACGCGACAAAGTCAATCTGGCACCCCTGCGCAGAATCGTCAGGGTGCAATGCTGGCCAATGACGTCACGCGAGCCTCTCGAACAACCCTCTGGTTAGACCCTCCCACATTTTACTCGGTGAAACCAGGCGCTCGTGTCATCGTCATCGCTTATCGGCGATTCGTTTCGCAAGGGTGGCGATTATCCCGCTCTCTTTTTAACTAGTTGTTGCTAATCGAAGAGCACTTGCAAAACGCGTGGTCTTTTCTCTCTCTCTCTCGGCAAAAATTAGGAAGTAGTATCGTTGTCGATCGATACAGTAAAACTTCGTTTACGTGAATATGTTTGGGGTTGTTTGTATGATTTTTGGTTAACATAGTAGAAATTTATTGCAAGTTTCAAATCAAATAAACGGAGTTCGTATACTCCAGTTCCACTGATGTTATTTATTTTTACGATGTTTTTATTTTTCCCAATTCTGGTTTTATGTTTCTCCTTGAAATATATTTTTATTTTAAGAAGAAATTGAACAATGAAATTGTTTCATTGAACGGCAAATTTGCTACGCGAACGAAAGGATTTTCAATCTTGGAATCCTGAAAGTTTCGGTAATTAAAAGAAAGAATTAGAAAGTAGAAAATCCTGTGGTAAAATAACGTAGGTATATCAAATACATCGGCATTGTGATTTAAATCTCCAAAATTTCGAGAAAGACGTAAGAAAGCAAGATTTCAAGAAATTTGAATTAAATCTTAAATAGTTTATAGAATCATTGTGAGCTTGAACATCGAAATTGAAATTTTTCAGTTTTTTTTTCTTACTATCAGAAAGAGAATAGAAGAAGAATTTCCGACAAATTGAAACTCTAAAAGATGAAGAACCAGAAAGATAATTGCGAAATAAAATTCCAAGGATTTTTCCTCAGGGAACTTTCATAGAGTCAACTACTAAAAATTCAAATCTCGATAATTAGAAAAATACTGAAACGACAGAAGAAAATTGTAAAAAGTTCGAACAAATCGAACAGAGAAGGAAATAGAAGAATAATTAGAAAATAAAATTCCAAGAAATCTTCGAGTAACTAACAGATCAGATTCTAAAGCCTCAAGAAATCGCGAGGACTCTAAAACAAATTGTCAGTTCGTTATTCGAGAATAAGAGAGAAAAACAGAGACAGAGAGAGAAATATTCTCCCGTTTTCCATAGTTACAGTGGTGGAAACAAAAGAGAGCCGGCATGCAGGGCGCAGGCTCGCCTTTCAAAGGGAAGCTACGCTGGGGTAGAACCTCTTGTCCAATAATGTCGAGAGTTTCGCCACCCTCCCGGCTAACTTGGGTGCCTCCCCCTTTTTTCGCCGCTGGTCCCCGTATGGACACACGGTTTCGATTCTCTCCTTACGTGCAATCGTAAACATAATGGAGTAACAATGTGCCGAATTAACTGGCCCCCCGGATGAAACAAAGGCGAGAACGAACGATTAAAAACGATCAACGAGGTACACGATGCTGTGTTCCCAGGAGACTGCTGGATCTTTTCTTCTATTTTTTTTTCTCTTTCTCTTGTTTCGTGCTTGGTACACAAGCGACCATTCACTCGAGCCCTTCCAACTTTTAGATTGACATTTCCGAGCCTATTTACATCGTGCGGGTAGTTTATGGCGCGGATTAAGCGTGATTAAGGATGAAAAGAGTCATAAACGAAAATGGGAGACTGATTCATGTTAGGTATGTTACTCACGGCGAGCATGTGAACGTATCTTCTTTTCGATTCGTTGGCGATCCGGCGTTTGTCACCATTATTCCTCATTGACGACAGTGTCTTGCTCGGTGGAGATTGCGGCGAGCCTGAAACAGTAAATTGAAGTATTTTGTTAGACTGTTGTATTGTATAAGAGTATTTGATTGTAACTGGTTCGATTCGTTCAACGATTGAAATTATTTAATCCCTGGATGTACTTTTAATTTTAGTTTCATAGTTGAAACTATGTTCAATTTATAGACATCAAATTGATAAATCTTCTTGTATTTGATTTTGAACCTTCAGAAAATTATTGCTGAAATTTGGAATTGTATTTCGGGAGCTTCCCGAACAAAATCATTCGGCATTTAAACTTCCCGTTGGAATTTGAAACTATAGAAGATTCAGAATCGAATATCATTACAAGACGACAGTAATTACAATTAAATTTAAATCGAGGAACGAACATGATATAAACGTAATTTAAATTCCAACAGATGATAGAAGAACTGTCTCTAAAGAACGCAGCTGACGTTGAAATACGAATTAGAATTTTGCCTCGTAACTATAACGGTAGCGAGGAGTTCGAGATCGACAGAGCAGGAAATTAATTTCGTTTTATCTTGGCTATGGTTGCGTCACCTGCGCCCCGAGGGAATCCCATCTTAATTCGGGGTTGCTTTTCAACCCCGTTTGGAAATCAGGTAGTCGCACGTTTTTCGTGGAAAGTAGAATGTGGGAAAATGAGTCGCGGTCCGTTAGGTTCCGCTGAGCGAAAGGGTTGCTGCGTAACCCTCTCGAAATGGGTCAGGATACCGGTCTCTCATCGTTTCCTTAAAGACCCGTTTAACCTCGACAAAATATCGCGTTTCTTCACGAGCCGAGATTTACCTTCGAGCCGATGCGTTTTAATTTTTATCGTCCTGCATGTACAGCAAGAAGCCAGAGTGTTCACAGAATTGGAAATATATTTTTTATATTATTAAAAATTGCACGCAGATATAGTGACTGATCAAGATATTCCAACACTTATTATTTCTAAGTATGTTATTATGTGTTGTATAAAATATTACACTATGGCATGTAAAAATTAATAAAATTGAGCACTATAGGAATTAACGTAGTATAAAGAATTATATTGAGAGATGGTTGCAATATCTACAAGAAAAATTTGAAATCCAAGTGTTTCGAGATATTTAATACAACTAGCTATTGTGGTTGCAATATCTACAAGAAAAATTTGAAATCCAAGTGTTTCGAGATATTTAATACAACTAGGTATACAATGATGAAAATATATTATAAATATAGTATAATTGTTTATATATAGACAAAGATATACTATAATTATTAATAATTAAATATTTCAATAATTTCACTGAAGTATTATAAATAACATTTAACATCTTAAGCACATAATAAATGTTAGAATACTTGATTTTTGTAAACTATATACCTGTGTTAAACATTCGTTTAACAGATACGTAAATTTGTAATGAATTTTAGATTTATCTTAAATTTGATCAATGTATTCGTGAGAATGATTATAATTAATAACAAAATGTTTTACGTGATATCTATATTCGTGAGAATTTCCTATGTTCAAATATTTTCGCGATTAAATATCGTTTAAATCATTTAGTAACTTATAAAAAAATGATACGAGACTTATACTATATTAAGAGACTTATACATTTAAATGAAAATTTATCAGTATCCATGTCAGGTTTTAAAGATATTTAAATAAAATCATAGAACAAAAAACAATTTATTGAAGAAACTAGACATTAAAATTTGCTTTTTTAAAGATACCTATATATATATATATATAAATTAATACTGTCTGACTTAAAAGTTCCGACGAGTCACAGTTTTTTCCATGATTCGA